GAAGAGAGGCTAATTCATTATATTTCATTTACTGCAACCACAGGTAACCATGAAGTAATTTTGCACATGTTACATAAATTAAATATTTGTTATATTTGCTTTTCTGATCACAGTAAATAATGAAGTTCCATTTCTTCTTTGAAAGATTAAAGAAAGCTGATAAACCCTTAGCCAATCTTATTCAAAAAAAAAAAAAAAAAAGGAAAAGCCTAAATCCATTCATTTTGGAATATAAAGGGTGAAATCATGATGAATCCTGTGGAAATCCAGAAAATCATCAATACCTACTTCAAGAAGCTTTATTATAATAAGATGGCAAATGCAGAAGAAATGGATATATTCCTGGATGTGTATGAATTACCAAAGCTCAACCAAGAAAATATAAAAATTCTAAAATAACCCAATATCAATCAGTGAAATTGTAGAAGTAATTTTAAAAAATTATCAACAAAAGCACAGTTTTTGATGGCTTCAACAAGAAATTTAGAGATGATCTAATGCTATGACACCTCAAACTCTTCAACAGTATTAAAAGGGAAGTAATTTACTCAAAGTAATTTGGGGTTGCGAGTATTACTTTGATAGCAAAACCAGAGAAAGACCTAACCAAAAAAAGAACTATAGCCATTCTCCTTGAACATAAATGCAAAAATCCTCAATAAGATACTGGCAAACAGGATACAGCAAATCATCAAAAAGATTATACAGAATGACCAAGTGGGATTTATCCCAGGGATGTAAGGATGGCTCAATATATGCAAATCAATAAATGCAGTACATCATATCAACAGGACCAAAGAGAAAAATCATATGATCATCTCAATAGATGTAGAAAAAGCATATAACAAAATCCAAAACCCAGTCATGATAAAAAGCCATATAGAAAGTTGGATTATATGGTCTTTATCTCAATCTGATAAAAGACATGCAGAGCAAGCCAACAGCCAACATATAATACTAGATGGACAAAACCTTGAAAGCTTTCACTCTAAAATCAGGGATAAGATGAGGATTTCCACTATCACCATTCCTATTCAATATAATTCTGGAAACAATAACAAGGGCAATTAGACGAGAGAAAAAAATAAAAGGAATAGGAAAGGAAGAAGTTAAATTATTATTTGCAGATGACACGGTACTCTACATAGCAGAGCTCAAAAACTCCACCAAACGACTTTGAGATTTAATAACCAAATTTAGTTGCATAGCTGGATACAAAGTCAATATTCAAACATCAATACCAAATCCACAGAGAGAAATTAGAGAAACACCTTTCACAATAGCATTCAAAAAAATGAAATAGTTAGGAATCAATTTAACAAAGGAAGTATAAGTCATTTACAATGAAAAATACAGTACTCTGAAAATGGAAGTTAAAGAGGATATGAAAAAATGGAAAGATATCCCTTGATTTTGGATAGGCAGGACCAACATAATGAAAATGTTCTTACTCCCAAAATTGTTGCACAGATTTAATGCAATCCTAATCAAAATACCATTAGCATGTCACGCAAAACCAGAGAAAACATCCCTAAAATTCATTTGGAATCAGAAGAGACCTAAAAATAGCAAAAATAATTCTGGGCAAGGGACAGGGAAGTGGTATCACATTCCCTGACTTGAAATTATACTGCAGAGATACTATGATAAACAGCATGATGCTGGCAGGAAAACAAAGATTAACAGACATATTAAAAGATACAGAAATGACTCTGAACACACCCAGCCACTTGATCTTTGACAAACACTTTCACTGGGAGAAAGATGTCCTCTTTAATCAGTGGTGCTGGGAAAACTGGCTCTCCACATGCTGAAGACCAAAACTAGAGCTATGCCTCTCACCGTACTCTAAACTAACAAAAATGGATCCAAGATCTAAATATCAAAACAGAAACACTAAGTCAACAGGAAGAGATAACAGGTAGGACTTTAAAGACATAGATGTGGGCAAAACTTTATGATCAAAATTCTGATCACATAAGATAAGTAAGGTAGTTTAATATTGGAAAATAAATGTAATTCACCACATTAAGCATAAACATCATATAATTATACAATAAATGAAAACAACCTGAAAAATTACTATCAATATATTATTGTTATTAAACAAATGTTCAGCAATCTTGGAATAAAGAGAATACCCTTAATCTTAAAAAGACTAGTTATGGAAAACCTATAGCAAACATGCTTAATGGTGAAATATGGAAATCTTTACCTTTGACTCATGAAAAAAGTACGGATGCCTGTTATCACTACCTCTAGTCAATTTTGTAATGAAAATTCTAACCAAAATAGAAATAAAAAGGAAAATAGATTTAGGAAATAGAATTAGGAGATTATATGATTGTCATGAGAGAAAATCTACAGTAATATACTACTGATTATGTTGTCATTAGCAGTTAAAGATTTCCATACTTGCTTTGTTTTTATTTTTTTTATTGAGATAGAATCTTGACATGAAGTCTAGGCTGACCTCAAACTCTTGATCCTTAGCCTGGAGCCTTAGCCTCCTGAGTGCTGGCATTATAAGCAAGTGACATCATACCTACATCTACATCCTTATCACACTTGGCAGTGTTCAACTTTTACACAGTAGCCCACTGATGGCAATTTTTTAGAGATCAAGCGCCCAAACTGCAACCTAAAACCCCACTTATTTATCTAAAAGTGCCAACACTGCAATTAAACTTGAATATTGAGGTTTTAGTTGAGAAAAAATCAATTAACACTATAGCATCTTTTGTCATAAAAGAAAAGCAAAATAACAGAGCTTTCAAGGATACAAATGGTTTTTTAATGAAAGGTAAAAGTTTGCATTTAGCCTACTTTTGCACAATTCTTGTGATCTGTGCTATTGTATACATGCCGATAATTTGCCACAGCTTTCCCGGAGCACCATGGCTTGTGGGCAGACAGAGAGGACTCTCTGAGCTTGTTGGGGTACATGAGCCATTGGTCTAGCACCCCTGTATTAGCCCACCTGGTGAGCATGTAATAGTATCTCTCTGGAGATATAATTTGTGTTTTTTGATTATTGACATGTTCTTGCTGGCTGGAACCACCAGTGGGATAAGCATGACTGTCCTGTTGAGTGACTTCCACCATCCAATGGGATTGGCCCACGCTGCCCAATGGGACAATCGTGCTATGCCACTGGTTGGTCAGAGTTGCCCAGCATTGAGATATGAATGTATTAATGAGGTCATGTACTTTTTAATTTACATTTGTGAATTTGTAAAGCGGCCTGTTTAAATCTTTTACATATTTTCTTGAGAAAAATTTATGCTCTATTAATTCTCTGTAGGTTGTGAATTTAATATAACTAAATTTGGCAATATTTCCTTTTTGATTTGCATACTTTTTTCTATTAAGAAATCCTTTTTTATCCTGAGTCATAAAGATGTTCTTCTATTTATCTTTTAATTTTTTGTTATCTTATTTAGATTTAAACTCTCACTATAATTGTAATCTATCACGTAAGGTTGGAGGTCATGTTTCAGTTTTCTCACATGAATAGGTAGAATGCAAATTAAAACTCCAGTAACACTGCTAAATGTTACAAGAATTAGCGGTACAGAGCATATGCCTATAATCTCTGCATTCAGGAGATTGAGTCGGGAGGATCTCTGTGAGTTCCAGGTTAATTTGGCTACATAACCAAACTCAAGTCCAACCTACACTACATAATGAACCCTGTCTAAAAAAAAAAAAGAAAGAAAAGAAAAGAAAGAAAGAAAGAAAAGAAATGAATGTAGGGGTACAGGAAAGAAGCGGCACCCACTGCTGCTGAAAGCGCAAATTATATTACACTGTGGAGTACAATTTTGAATTACCTACCTAACACGGGTGAAGAAATGCAAACACTCCAGCAATTCCACCCATAGGTTAGATACTACATACACTCATGCAATGTGTATCAGTAAACGTGCATAAGAATGTTCTAAGCAGTGTTCAAATAGTAGCCCCAAGCTTTGAACCGTCCAAATGCCCCTCATCCGCAGAATGAGATAATAAAGCCATACAGTAGAGGGCGTCTGGCAACTGCTTTTAAACATTGCCTCTGAATGGTTGCTGAGTGGGTGTGTCCAACAGCATGAGAAGAAATGACAAAAGTAAAATTAAAAAAAAATCAAGTTAAAATTTTAAGCACCAGGAAACTCAGTAAAAACAAAAAAGGCGACAGAAAACCAATTATCTTGATTTCACAAGTGGTTTCAGTGGTTTGCTGACCTGCCTGCATGTGTGAGCTCTAAATCAGTATTAACTCACTTGTTGCACAAACTAATTTTTCGCGGAGGTCAAAACCTTCTCTTGGCTCCCACGTTTTCTGAGTTGGTCAGTCGGAGCCCGCGGCCCTGTGGAGCTCACCTAGCCGGGGTGTCAGTTTACAGGGCGCCCGCAGGGCGCAGTCGCCGGAGGCCCACCCACCGCCCTGCCCGGCCCTGCCCTGCCCTCCTCCGGGTCCGGGAGGACGCTGCAGCGAGGCCGGAGCTCGGCTGGGCGTCTCGGAACCCGGGCTGCTGAAACTGGCCTCAGCGGACAGCCATGCTCCGAGTGATTGTGGAGGCCGCCAGCAACATCCCTAAGACGAAATTTGGAAAACCGGATCCTATTGTTTCTGTTATTTTTAAGGGTAAGAGCAGTTTTCCTCTTTTCTGAAGTCCTGCTTTGGCATGTTAGTTGCTCGGGTCACGTTCACTGGTACCGCCAAGCCTGTCCAGCTCCTGGTCACCCGGCCAGGGCGGCCGCGGACGGGCTTCAGGGCCCTCAGACCTCTGCGACTCCTTCAAAGACCTGATGAGCTGTAACATGGCTTCTGTAGATGGCTAAAGGAAAACATGCATCACTAATCTATTTAATTTAGGTAGCAGGAAGGTTTGTGTTGGCCCAAAGGGAGTGTCTGGATAGTCTTGTTCGTATTTAAAGTTTTCTCTACCTGTGAGAAGTGAATAAAAGAGCAGGTAAAGTGTGGAAGCACCAATATCTACTAACATACTTACTATTGCTCCATTGAGGTGGGCTTTGTTGGCATTGGGTTCTGGCCGCGAAATTAGTATTCTCAATTAGTTTTGTTATCCAGTTACTCTGTGCCTTGATTTCATTTCTGTATATGTCAGTTTTCTCCTGTAAAGTAAGTGAGAAAGGTTTAGACTTTAATTGGCCTTTAAAAACCCATTGTAATTCCAAGCAGTTACTTTTATGACATCTGATTGTGATTGCCTTGGAGGCAGTGCAGGGGCTGCACCCTGCCAGGCCCCTAAGCGTTTCAGTTTTGACCTACACGGTGCGTCTAAATATGGGTTTGGGCGCTCTATCCATTTTTCTGTCTGTCCGGGGTGATTGGCAAGTCTGCCAGCTCACTCTGGCAGGGAGCATGGCAGGGAGAGTGGGAACCTCTGCAGGCACATTTCCTGGCCACGCCTTGACACATTTTTTCTTTCTTCCGGGAACCTGGCTACTTGTGCCTTTTGGTTTCTGGATAATCTATCCCTTTCTCCATTCTCATTTTCATTTTCCCCCCCTATTTCTCTTCTCAAACCTCTCTTTCTTAAGGTGAGCAAGAAAATGAAAGGAATGAATTCCAAAGCTGTCAAATGGTTGTTTGGTTTTTAAAAAGAGGGATCTGGAGGTTAAGATTTGTGTTTATAAAGATGTGGTTTAAGAATCTGGCGAGTGAATATCTGGGAGTCGTATTACCTCAGAATTTATGTGCACGTATTAGTTTTCTTTTAATCTTTTTGTTCTTCAAGAAGTTGCACAACAGGGGCATAACATGAAGTGCTTGCATCCTTTGCATTGTCATGTAAAGACAAGTAAAAACATATGGGTTCATTCTGCTGATGTTATTACTTGAAGCAGGTCATATATATTATAAGTGGACTGGAATTACACTATTGAAATCTGATTTATCTGGTCCTGTAAACATTAATTGAAAATTTTAAGATATTAAAAATATATCTAAATCTATAGAGAAAATGCTTACTAGAAACTAGAATCAATTAAATTGACAAACACAATCTATCCAACCAATTACACTTACTAGATATTTTTTAGCCTTTTTTTCTGATTGTTGGTTGCAGAAAGTTGGTGAAGTCATTCATTCATCCATCCAACAGGCACAAGGAAGAACACTGAATTTGGTGTAGGAATATTTGGACTCTAGCTGATATTAGCTAAATAGCCGATGACCTTGACTAACCCAATTTTAACCACTTGGGTCTTAGATTCTCAGCTATGGAATATGGGGGACTGATTGCTTTTGTCCTTTGTGATTTTAGGATTTTCTAGTTCTATGTATTAAATATCTGCTGTCATCCAGATATAGAAGGCAATGCCTTAGATAGCAGAGGGGATTGATTATATTAATGAGTATGGCATTTTTCTTATTTGCAATCTTTTCCAGCATCTTAAAACACTGGTGATAGCAAATCCTTCCCAGTCATGTGCCCAGTTTTGAGTACCATGTAAAATTAAGTAACAGTAAGTTTTGATAGAACCAAGGTCCTTGTACCATGCTAACGATCATCAGCGGAACGTGGAGCAAAGCCCCTTGTACTTCTGCTGTGGGTCAGGTGTGGTTGGGAAGGTGTAAAAGCCCTCACAGAAGATCAAGGTGCTACCACAGAAAGTCTCTGTGTTGACTGGAATGTGTCAACATTTTGTTTCTTGATGTCTAAAACAGTAAGATCAGAGCAGTCGCAGCTCTTCTCACACTGTGGACTAGCAGGAAGTCCGCCAAGAGCAGGGTGTAGGAACCATGATGCCTCTGTGGACACCGTGAGGCTGGATTTGTTAGCTTTCTGTTACTTGTCACAGCTGCACGGGGGAACCAGCTTATCATGAACAAAGGCTTATCCCAGTCTTGGACACTCAGTTGGGCAGACTTGCTGCTTTTTAGCCTCTAGTGGCAAGAAGGGGTGGCAGAGCACATGGCAGAGCACACTTGCTTACATCATGGTCACGAAGAAAAGGAGGATGTTTCAGGGTCTCGTAATCCCTGTCCAGGACACACCTCAAGTGATTCAAAACCTCCTACCAGACTCCATCTCTGACAGTTTCCATCACATCCCAGTAGAGCCGCAACGGCCCTTAACAGCTGGGCCAGTGGAGACACTTCCCCAATCCGCAGTGGTGCTGCCCTGGAGTGTGCTACATCCAAACCCTTCCCAAGGCTGTCAGTGACCCCAGGACCTGGCGCGAGCCTGGAGGATTTGGGCTACGGCGCACCTATCATTGGTATTCAGCAGTGCAGGGGTAGGTTGTAGAAGCCACAGAGCTTTACGTAATTTTTCACTCTTGGAGTACATGCAGCTCCGGGAACCAGTTCTGAATCTCGAGGCCAGGGACCTACGAGTCAGATAAGCAACCCCGTTGTGTTCCACAGACAGCCAAACTGAGACCGGGTCCAGCAGGAATTAAACCACACAGACCTCTGAGCCCTCTCTCCACGCTGAGGTGTTATAATAAAACATAACCACTTCTTTAATTTAAAAATTTAAGTAATATAGTATTTAAAAATAAAAAGTAGTGCATGTAAAATTAAAACAATCTATAAGAAATACACGACTAAAAAGTCAAAACATCCGCCCCGCCTTCCTGCTCCTTCTCTCTTACTACCTACACATCACCACCTTGAACACTTTCATTGCCTTCGTATTAAATTTCTTGCAAAGGCTAAGTTCTTTTATGCTTTCATATTGTGCCTTTACAGTGTGACAACGTTACATTCCTACAGAACATCAGTTCCAGCCGGGCACAGCTGTCGCCACTGTAGCAGTTTCCTCCTGATTTCGACATCCATTCTGTCTGCCAAAATTCACTGTCATTCTGCCTCATGCAGATCTTCTCTTTTTTGTTTTTTTCATGCTTTAATATTCTTTTTATATACTTTTTATTAGTACATGTTTGCAATGCATTATAAATACATTGATCATGGGAAGGTGGTAACCAGTTTATAAAGCACTTTATATGACAGCCCAAGCTAAGAAAATATCCTGGTTAAGGATGAGCACCTAATGTAATTTGCCTTTGATGTTTTTAACCATTATATTCGTTCTATGGTTAACCCTTTTTAACCTTTCTATGGAGATTTTATTTATTCATTTATTTATTTGCAGATCTTTTCTTTGTGGAATGGTTACTGCCACAGTCCAAATAACCATGTCTAATGTTCTAGATCTTATTCTTTCATCTGGGCGGGGTTTTGGAGTACAAGCCTATATATTGCTAGGATTCCTTCCTAGCGATTCCTTCCATGTGGCATAACAAACTTTGCAGCTTTTGCATAACTATGTCACTTCCCTTAGAATTTTTCTTCTTTCAAATAATGATGCCAGAGTAGCTTATTTGAAAGGCAGTAAATCTGTGGGTAATCCCAAAGCTTTCCTCTATGCAATAGAAACCTGCTTATTTTTAGCAAGAATTGCTCTACTACTTGGAGTTTTTTTGGAGGGGGAGACATTAATGCTGAGAATATTATATGCATGTACATATATAGTTAATTGCAAGTTGGGGTTTTAATTTTTAAATGACACAGTAATTGTGTATATTTATTTATTGATACAGTGTGACATTTCAATACATATATGTAATATGTAATGATCAAATTAGAGTCATTGATATATCTATCACTTCAGGAACATTCAAAATTTCATGAACACTTTTTAAAAGATTCAGGCTTGTGGGCCAGAGATTTAGCTCAGTGGCACAAATGCCTGCCTGGCAAGTGCAAAGTCTCGAGTTTGATCCCTGGTACCAAAAAAAAAAAAAAAAAAAAGAAAGAAAGAAAGAAAGAAAGATTCAAGCGTGTGTATCTGATTAACATTACAGTCTCAAGATGCATCAGTTTTCCTAAAATGACTCAATTTTATGGCAGAGTAGTAATACTCTGTTGTGTGTAAATATTGTATCCATCTGTCGATGGACATATAGGCTGCTTCCAATATGGTAATTATGAATTATGCTGCTGTAAACATGGCCATGCATGTATCACTGTAATATAATGTCTTTGACTTTTTCAAGAAGATACCTAGACATGGAATTTTGAAGAATCTCTCTTCTGATTTCCATAGTGGTTAAACTAGCTTTCTTTCTCATAGTTTTGCTTATATGAGACTCCTCCACAAAAAACCCCAAAAAACAACAACAACAAAAAAAGAAACCGAAAGTATAAATAAATAGCAAAATACAAGATGGATCATAGGAGATAGGGAGATAGATCTTTTTCAAAAGGGAAGGGATCAAAGGATGGAGGGAAGGAGAACGGGAGATGTAAAAAGGAATTAGGATGTATTCCATACACGTACCAACGCCTCACAGGTAATGTGAACATTATATACTGCAAACATGTACTGAGAAAAACCTAAGGGGGTCAAGAGATGAAGAGGGGGGGAGAGAAAAAGGAAAGAAGATGAAAAAACCTTTAATGTGTGTTATATTCCTGTACCAGCTCTCCCCAAGGAATGTAAATGTTATGTACCAGAAACACATACTAATAAAGAAAATAATCTGAAAAAAAGAATCATTCAAATGAACACAAAAACTGTGCGACCCCACTACAGAGTGATGAATTGGGACGGGAGGAAGTTCTCCTGGGTCTCACTTCCTGTGGGCTCTGAAGGCACCATGTGGCCTGTCCAGACATAAACTTGACTCACCCAGGTACAGCCTCAGACTAGTCCAGTAACGTCTCACCCGCTCAGATGATGGTCGGGTCTTGTGGGTATTGTGTTGACCAAACTCAGAAAGGCCTAAGTGTTTAATCTACTGAGTCATTTCTGTTACTTCCTGGAGAACAGGGCCTGGAATTGCTGGAGGACAGTGGCCCCACCTTATCACAGCAGAGGGACTCACACAGGGACACTCCCCAAAGGCACATTCTGTGGCTGCCAGGTGTTTATAAAAGCCACAAATGCCTTGCAGAAGTTAATTAGTGTGCCTTGGCTTGCCTTTCTCCTACAGCATATCTTATCTGCATGCCATCAGCCAGGGTTTGGGATATTTTTTGGTTTCAGTTTCTTTTCAGATTATTGGTGAATTTCTCCATCCCCCTAGGGTTTGACCACCTAGGACTTGACAATATTTTCTGTCTTGTGCAACATCTAACACATCACTGAAGCTGAATATACATTTCCAATGTGGACCATGGAAGCCAAGAGCTGGCAGGAGATTAAAGACATCTTGGTACAGTAAAATCATTGATTCTTAGTCCTGAGGGGACCATGGAAAATTAATCAACCTCCTTTTGTTTAGGAAGAATTATACTTAATATTCTTGGAGGTGCTTATTGGATGAGGCTTGACAAGGAGCTCCGTCACGCATTCTGACCCTTGCTGTGCAGGGGCAAAACTGGCGTCTGAGGCCGTTTGCATTCTTGTTCACGGCAAGAAAAGTGCAAAGGTACCTATTTTTGTGTGGAAGTTCATATGTGAGGTTCCATGATCTGTACTACTTAGAAGGCTGTGGTGTAGCAACTGTCACCTTTCTCGCTGTGTACTTCCTAT